TATCTATCTATCTATCTATCTATCTATCTATCTATCTATCTATCTATCTATCTGAAACCTGTTAAGTCTGTAAAACGTTTTTGTTTGTATGTTTCCAGAGCTGACCTCTTGGTGTTGGATAACCAACTGATGTGGTATTCTCTGGGGAAGACTATTTCTCCCATTTTTAGCATTCCTAGTTCCCTGTAGTTATTTGTGTAAGGTTTGTGTAATGGCTTTCTCCCATCCCTTTTTGTATGTCTATTTTGTTTTTGTTTGTTGTTCAGCTCACAGTTAGGCAGTCATATTAATAAGACTTTACATGTGTTGCTTCTGACATTACTAGGAGTTACAATCTCACAACAAACTCTCTGTTCTTTTGGTTCTTACAATTTTCCTCTCCTTCTTTCACAAAGTAGGAGTAGTTTTGTAGATGTATCCAAGGACTACATACTTTGCATTTGGATTTTCTGTGTTTGTAATGTTATGTTTAATGTAATGTGCAATGATCCTCATCTGTTGAAGGGAAGTTTCCTGGATGAGGGATAAGGACTACACTTATTTTTCTACTATTTTTTTGTCACCACAGTGCTACCCCTGAACAGCCATCAGTTTACTGGTGTCAGGCTGTGTGTCTGTCTTGATGCTGGGGTACCTGAGTGCTGCTGGAGGGGCAGAACACAGCCCAAGATAGGGGACGCAGCCCATGCTTTCCTGGATGAGAAGCAGCAGGGTTTGGGATGAGTGCTGTATTTCCTGTCCTCTTGTGTAACCAGATGCTGCTGGGGACCTCAGGGAGTTGGGAATGGGGGTCCACAGGTCCGTGCTTCTCCTGTGTGTCAGGCAGGAAGGAGTGAGCCCATGACAGGAGTGGAATCCTGTTTGGTTCCGAGTTAGTGCTGAGCATGAAGAGGGGCTGGAAGACAGAAGGTTTCCTCCTGGACATTTAGGTGAGGAGGTGCTCTTTATGACAAAGTCTCCCATCATAGTGATCCTTGATGAGGGAGATGGTCCTTGCTTGGCCAAACTACTTTATTTGATGGTGGATATGAATGTGTTCATTTTCCTCAGGGTGAACCAGGGATAAATATCCTTTTCAGGAAGGAATGCCCAGGAACAGAAGCTTGCTGGCTTCTGGGGCCCATCTAGATACCTTATTAGGAAGGAGAACTCCAGCTTTTTATGCTTTGTGATTGATTGTCATGGTCCTCTCTGTGGTATGTCATGTGTATGTGTTCCAGGACAAATAGAACTTCCACTCTTCCTGTTCTCAATTCTGAGATTTCCTGGGGGTTTTAACCTGATCAACCTTACCAGTTTTTCTGTCTGGTAGCACAGTTCATTTGCTTCACACAGTGGAGAATGTAGGAAACATTTACAAAAAAGCACCCTTGACTGTACATATTCATGATGTGTAAGTGGAAAAGAGACTAGATAAGGATAAAAGACTGGGGGGTGGAAAGATAGAAGACAGAGATAGAAGAAAGTAATGGGGTGAATTCTCAGAATTCTCAGGAAAGAACACAACAGTGCCAGCTTTGGCATAGAAAGGACTTATTTCTTTTTATTTTAGAACTTCTAGTGATTGGAAACCTCTCAGATTTTGAGACACAGGCTGTGTTTCAAGTATGGGGAACAAAGGCGGGAGGGCCATGGAAGTTCCACTTGGGAACTAGAGAAATCCTCAAGTGTGCATGGGTTAAAGATGCTAACTCCATCATGAGGAGGCAAGAGGAAGAAATCCCATGTAGAGTAGAGAAGGAGATGGCACAGGATGAGTTTTTGTCAGAGAAGGTTTCGTATAGGGCTCTTGGTGGTGTTGGCACACATTTAGACGTCTTCTTTTGTGCAATATTTGCTGATGGCTTTTAGTTGTACTGATGCATTCAAGACATTTTCTATGGTCTTCAGAATTATGTCTAATGGGATATTTGAAATCTGTCTTTGCAGGCGTTGAGCACACATCTCAATAGATCCCTGAACTGAACGCGTCCACACATCCTCCTCCTTCTCCTCACACATGTCCTTGTACTCACAGAGAGTGTGGCTGTCTTTCTGAAACTGGGATCCTTCAGGCATATTGCTTAGCTCTCAGTTGCCACATGGCTCATTGTTAAACCATCTTTTGTGTCTGGAAATACCTTTTAAATTCCTGTTCTTTCTTTCTTGTGTCATCTATGTCATGACACAGTCACCTTTAACCCAGCCAATTTATTGTCTTTCTTTTCTACCTGATATTTATGTCCATTTATCTTGCAGAAAGTTGATATCAAATATCTTTCTAAGTATCTCTCCATTGCACAAAGCGATGGATTCCATAATGCTATGTTCTTTTGAATATATTCTCTTCTATGGGAATATTTACCTCCATTGTCTTCTTTTGTATCTGTTCTCATTCCCAAAGTCCTCTACTCTTATCTGGTTTCTTTTCTCCTTGATTTCATGTATATGTATATTCTATAGATGTGTACACACACACACACACACACACACACACAGGAGGTAAAAACATATGCCATTTGTGTCTGATTTATTTTGCTCAATATGAGGTCCCCATTTTCATCTATAAGTCTGGCCAGTTACCTTAATTAGTTCATCTTTGTGTCTGAATAAAACCTCATTCTGCGTAAATACTATTGTTTTGGTTACCTTTTTTTATTGCTGCCATGAAATATGTGACAAAAGCAACTTAAGGAAGTCAAGGATTACTTTTCCACATTTTGAGGTATTTGAGGTATATTCATCATTATGGCAGGAATTTGAGGCAGCTGGTGATGTTGTATCAACATTTAAGAATCTAAGGAACAGAGAGAGGTGACTGATTGGGTTCAGCCACCTTTCTTTTTTTTATATACAATGCAAAACTGAAGTTCTGGAAATGATGCTTCTTACCTATAGAGTGTGTGCTCCCACTTCAGTTATTCTAATGAGCATGACTTCTCACAGGCATGGCTATAGACTAGCTAAATTTAGGGTACCCATCACAGACATTCCCAGAAGCTTGTCTCTTAGGTAGATGCTGTCAAGGTACTAGTCAACACTACCAACACAAGCACAATTTTTAAAAAAGTGAGTTTTTATTTTAAGACACACAAAGCAATAGATTTCATTGAAGCCTCTTTGCACATGAGATATTATGCTTTGTTCTCACTGTTACTCTCCTTCTCTGCCCTCCACTGTGTCCCTTCTCTCACGCCAACTGGTTTTCTTCCTCCCATAGTGAGTCCCTGTTTTCTTTTTTCCCTTTTTTAAACAAAGTGTGAGCTGAGTGTGGTCTATTTGTGATGCATGTACACAGAAGTCTGTGGTTGTTTGCACACACATGGAGGTCAGTGCAAGATGCCTGGTGTCTTCCTCTACCTTATTTCCTTGAGATAGCATCTATCACTGAACCTGCAGCCTGTTGTCTGTAGTTTTAAAAAAATCATGCTACCACATTTTCCTGGAGCTGTTGCCCATGCTCTGATCCATCCTGTCTTTCCTTTAGTTTTTCCCAGCTTAATTCTAGGATTGGTTTCCACCAGTCTCCATCTGGCTTCCCTTTTTACCTACCTTATAGCTCCTGGAGGTACCTTGCATGACTAGCCCCAGGTCTCCACTCCTCCCCCCCAGACCCCTGAATACTCAGACAAAAGACATACAGAAAGCTTTCCTGCTAGGCACAATTGCTGGGTGCAAATATCTTTTGCTTGGAAATGTGTGCCCTTACCAATTTATTATCTCTGTCCCTCTCTCCACCTTAAACGTAGTGGCTTATATCAGCCAGCTTCTGCCAACATCCTTGGCCATCCACCAGTCATGGAGGCCACAGGCCCTACTTGTCTCTGTGGATTTACATAATTGTAGCTTTCTCCATC